GTCTGAACGTAGGATAATGCCGGACTGTATGTTTGTAACAGAGAAACTTTGTTTTCTCTCCCTTCTGTTTGCTGCATTTAACAACATGCTGTTTTCTGTTTTATCATATTTTAAACTACCTGCATCTATTGGTTCAAATATTTATTTCATTGTATTCAACAGTTTTCCATGAAAATGACGTATCTGCTTGTAAATATAGTAATAACTGACATACTTCTTAATTGGTTTGTTCAGTTTATAAAGTTTATAGTTTATTAATGAGACATAAAGGATTTATTTTATCAGACTGAAAACACAGCAGATATTTAATTACACAATCTGTTTATTTTTCCTTTTCTTCCTCAGATTCGCTTCTTGATTTTGGGGGTTTTGAAGAGAAAGTTGGTGATGTTTTTTTATTTATTTAATTTATTTGCTGTTTAAATAAAATACTTGTTTGTATTGGCAAAAATATTTTTTTTATTAATGAAATACTGACGTTATATCAAAGTGAGGCAGGGTATGAAAGAACATTATATAGTCTTGATCTGTAATAAAATTGATCTAAGCAATGTTTTTTTTTATAAGAAAATCAGATTTAATAGTGGAAGGTAAATTAAACCTGCTGTTATTTAAAAAAAAATAGTTTGATGCCTGAAGATGGTCTGGAAACTCCTTGACTTCATCCTGTATCAGTCTATTAATCCCTGTTTTAGCCAACAGGCCATCTGATATGGCTAAAATTAAGGTGTTTGACTTTCCAGTAATCAGATCAACGCGGCTGTGACGCATCAAAGAACAGCTTTACCCAACAGCTGTACGCTTAAGCCGAGGCTAACTAGAGTCTGAGCTCTGAAAGCTGATCGGGCTTCACAGCTCCAACAATCAGCACCGCGCCTGCTAAGCACACAGATGCTCTCAGTGCTACATTTCCCTGTAGTTAGCGGCCTCTGAAAGATTGAGAAGGATTTTAGCGCAGTTTCTTATTGCTTAGTGTAAATTACTGGGGATCAGACCTTGTTTTGCTTTCTTAATGCTCCTATGATCTCTGATCCTGGTTGCCCTCCACCGTTACATTACTGGTTATTTCCCAGTCACTGAACTCTGCGAAAAGAGGAATGAAATATCACAAAATCAAAGGAATCTTTTGCTAATGAATCTTAATCTCTTACTAAAAATAAAACCTTTTATTTCCGTAATAGGAGGGCAAAAAAAAAAAATCCCTTTAAAAAAAAAAGGTTACTGCTTTTTTTGAAATGTGTTTTTTTTATCTGTAACTGAAAGATTTTTATAATATTTGCATTAATTTTTCTTCATTTCTCTGAGTGAACAGGAGTGAACACTAAATTCTTTGATCTATATTTCCCTGGGATATAAATATAATCAAAGAAAAAAAAAAATTTATTTTATGCACTTGAAAAAACAAGTTCATGTGTTTTTGGAGTAGGAAAACAACATCTTAGAAAAGAACATTTCAAAAGGTAACAGTTCTAGACCAGAAGCACAGAATATGGCCTCTTAGGATCATTAAGTCTCCATAACAACCTTTCAAGAAATATTTAAGGTCCTGCCAGAAACAAGCCCTTTCTGTTCTGCTGTACCACCAAAAAAAACAAAGAACGAATCATTTATCCTAAAGACCAAACCTCCAGACCTAATATAAGCAGAGTGTCTGCAG